CTTCCCCCGCGCTCACGGACTGAGCTTATTCAAAGGCTTATTACTATCGCCAGCAAAAGGCGCCTGGGGAGCGCGGCAGCAGCTGCTGTGCCGAAGCTCAGGACCGGTCTCCAAAACCAGCCAAAGCTTCCCAACAAAAGAAGGCCTTTTCATTCCTTTTTAACACGACCAAACCAAAATTGTCGGAAATGCAGCACCAGGCACGGCTGAAGTGTTTCAGCCAAAACTTTCTAAAAGCTAACACCAAGCCCACACGATAGACAGCCAGCATGGGAACTTTTAGCTTAAGTGACTTAAGTCTGGCAACGCGCATCGAAGCTAAACCCAGAGTCTTACAAAAGGAAGCACGTTTTAATACTAGAAGTGCCACCAGTTCTGCTTCTAATTATTCCCTGCGAGCCAGTGTTGCGATACTTCAGCCACACAGGATAAGATAAAACATTGTGAAAACCCATTTCCCAGCCGGTGGAAAGCAGTACCAGCATGGAAAACCTGTAGGAAGCACAGCAATGGGACAGCCTTGACAGCTGGGTGTAGAAATTCCCCCCTCTCAAAGCCACAAGGCAGGATCTCAGTGGTTTACACTGAGCCCTGGCTGATGGATGTAACCAGCGCCTCCATCACCCAGCTTGCATCCCAGGTAGACAGATTGCTCTGGAGAACCAAGGAGCAGCAGAAGAGACAGCTTGGCCAGTTACGGACCTGAGGACGGATGAAGAACCTTTGGAAGCTGCCCCGGACAACCAGGACGTGCTCCTAGATGAGACTGCTTAGTTTAGCAGCTCTTCTGCTATAAAACAGGCCTTGTCAGAAGGCTGTGAGTCAACCTTTGCTGCCAATGAATAATGAAATCAAAATGCGAGCCAGATCATTAAAAAAATAATTTGGAATGAATGTGTGTAGGTATAGGTTACCTTCTGTGATTCATACCATAACACGTTTTTCAGTCAATAGGTGGAGATTTTGATGGTTTACTGTACATTTTCAAGTTATTTTTAAGATGGGCTTAAGTCATACAGTTTGGATCCAAATCAGCACTTTTGACCGCTAATTCACAGTTATTCTGAGGTGGGATCATCTAGATCTGCTTCTGGATTTAAGAAATGTTAAAAAAAAAAAAATCAAGTTATTCATTATCTTGTTTTTATTTTCCTGAAGAGCAGAGTATCAAAGCAAAGCACAATTATGCATTTTTCTTGGGTGTTCCCTGAGCAGCTGTGCCAAAGTCCTCATGGGAAACAGTAACGTTGATTCCCTCAGCACTCCATCACACACTGACCTGTCCATTTAATGAACAGATTCACAGCTATCTGTAATTCTAGTGAGTTCCCTACATGTGGCTTTACGATTTCCTTGTTGCTGGTGTTTCCAAAAAGTCAAGGTGATCCAGAGCTTGTTTTTTCCCTCGCACCCAGGTTTTCATGGATCACACACTTGAGGTCTTCTCGATTCAGAACCTGGCTTTTATACTTCTCGCCCCAGTCCTCAACGATGTACTGATGATAGGGGTCATGGGAGTGCTCTCGCCTCTTTGATTTCACAGTACTCACCAAGATCGCCACAATAATGAAGGAGAACATCCCAATCATCACCATCAAATAAAGGATAACATAGTCAAAGTTTTCAGCCTGAACCTTGGCTTGCAATTTATCTGCTGCGTCCGTCATGTTTTTCCTCCAGCCATTCATGTAAGTGAGAAAGATTTCCTTGAAAATATCTTCCACCGCCCAAGTGAAGTTTCGCATTTCAGCCATTCTTGCAAGTTATGGTTGCTAAAGACAACATGATACTTATTTTAATCAAATATCTATACTAAAACAGCTACATTGGTTTCTTTTGTCTGCATTATGACAATTAAATAATAACACCTGCTACTTGCTGGTGAAAATGTAGTACCAATTTTAGATCAGCTGAGAATCCCCGTCTCTGAGTGGTTCAATACATTCAGAGACCCAAGGAGCTCTTACTCCTCTCTTCACTCTGGTCACTTTTGGTCTGTGGGAAGCCAAATATGCTTTGGTGAAATCCAGTGAGCGCGGGCCCTCGTGACCTGCGTTAACAGGGGTCGAGGTGCACTGCCTTCCCTGCTGAAGCGGTAGCTCTCAAGAAGCTCTGAGAAAAGGCACGGTCCTTTTCTGCCTCTTCTACATAAAGAGGAGGGTGTGACCGCATTGCAGCCTGCCAGCCTGCAAAAAGCAAAGGGTCTGGTAGAGGATTTCGGTCTGACGCTCCTGCGTAACACCTGTCCTTCAATGCTTCAGGCCAGCCAAGCCCTACAACATGTGGCAAACCTTCCACAAAAAGTCACTTGATTGCTTCAAGCGATGACGAGCTTACTGCAGCCTGTGGTAAGGGGTGCTGAATTTTCATCACTAATATGAAATTGCGGTGTCTTTCCAATTTGAGTTCAGCGGTCTACCTTCCGCTGCTTGTCAGACTCGCCTTGCGATACCAGCATGCACAGAAGAGGCACACACACACAGAAGGACATGGGTACATGTGCAGGTAGGTCTCTCTGCAGCTACGCACTCACACACACTCAAACACAGGGGATAAAGGTAATCTAATGAAAGTAAGCAAGCTGTAAGAAAATCCAAATATAAACTGCCTTGAAATGTTTGGGCGTTTTTTTGTGTAAAAGCTCTGTGCTTTTTCAATAGGAAATAAAGAATTACCAATGGAAACTTACCTTTCCTGTGTCCTTCTCTAATAAGGTTCCCGGTAAAAATCAGGATTTTAAAACTCCACTGGATAATATGATGGTACTCTCGAAAGGAGCAGAGGTATCGTAAACTTTAAGTAGCCTCCAGCCTGCACAAGGCTATAAGCAATTGCCTGTTAAATAAGTGCCTTGTACTGCACGCTTCTTGTTTATATTAAATTTAATGCTAAACCTAATCTCACCTGGAAAGCCAAATATTGGCTGACAGCTTACATCAGTCATCCTGTTAGATGCCGAGTACTATTCTTTATGCTTATTACTGTAATATCATATATTGTGAAAGAGCACCGTTATGCTTTCTAGGGGTAAACACTGATGCAGCTCGATTTTTGTTGACCCAGACAGAAAAAGAGTAAAGATGAGCCCTACA